AATTGAACATTCCCTCTCTCACTTGTGCTGAAAAGGGCATAATTTACATCTAACGCTTCTCGTTGTTGTATCTTTTGCTTCCAAGGCATCAAACCTATCGAAGGAGAGAATTAGCTTTGGAAATATTATCCAGTGTTTTGGCTGCCTTGGTTTTCAAGTTACCTCAACCTTCTGACTTGTGTGTATGACAGATTATGCACCGGAAAAAATTAGACATTGTTTGTTGCGACAACTGTTAGTATATCCGTGTACTGGTAGTATCTGAATTGATGGAAATACTATTTTCTTGAGGCGAAAATTACGTGCGGGATCTTCCCGGCCATGATCTTGCAAGTTAATTTGGAGAACTTAATTAGCAACTTAATAGAAGATGACTAAAAGAAGAGCATCTTGAGCTAGTCGATTAATTAAGCTTCAGATCACAGGGAGAGAATCAGGTTTTTTATTTTTTCTGGAAGGTGGTGGTGGCCGGCCCGGGGGGGGGGGGGTTGGGGTTGTGCTAATTACCTTTTCAGACTTGGGAATCAGTTTCCTCAGAGTAGCAAGCTGCGCGTTTATCCGGTCCCTACGCCTCTTCTCCGCTTCACTATGGCTTCTAGAGGCACTTGCAGCCCTTCCCTCGGCGAACCCTTCAGCGGGAATCGACCAGGGATGCAGGGAGAAAGGATAGCCATCGAAGTTGAAAGATGAAGCTTCATCTGGAGTACTATTATTATTGAGCTGTGGAGCTAGAAAGGGCAAGTCCATGCTGTTTTGTTCAACAGCAGCTTGGTGACAGACTTTCCAGGCTGCATCTTCTTGTAAATCAGCCGAAGAAAAACAATTTGCCATGTCCTGTGTATGTGGTGATAGAAAAAGGTCTAGCAAACAGGATAATCTCTTTGCTTTTTATCCCAAATCTAGAGCTGCTATTTATTTTTCAATACTAGAAATGAAGAGAAATGTGTGATCTTCGAGAATTGATTGTGACTGGCGTGACATATAGTGGCCTTTAATCTGTCACATGAAAATCATTTTTGGACCTATCTTCGGGAGTCACCTAAGCATCAGAACTTTTGTGCATTAGGAAACAAACAGTTTCAGCCGTAAAGGATCTTAAATGCTCCACAAAATAATATGCTCTGTCAGGGCATTAGTATTAGGCATTAGGTGAGGCCAAGGCTCTCGGCAAATCCTCTCTCGTCTTTGCGCGTGTGATGGATTTGTCCGGTAAGGTCCAAATTTGCGACAGCGGAAGTCAATGAATTGCTATATAGCGTTTTGGTCATGGAGTTAAAATCTTCTCAAGCGGGCCCTTGAATCTTGTAGTAGCTCCATTTATATCTCGTTGGATTTCTTTTTTGCTTTTCAAATGATGATTTCACTAATGGATGGACATCCATTAAGCGGAGTTTCAATTATCAATGTTTTGACAAAAATATTTTTAATTTGTGAAAGATCCAGATGCTGAGATGCAATAAATATGAATGCATGTATTCATATGATATATTTAGTAAAATGTTAAGTGTATTAATTAGGACAACACCTGTTAAAAAAAACCCCTTATGGCCCGTTTGGTTCATGGACCCGGATGAGATAGATTGACTCATTCTTGGATTATTAATTCTGAGTTGAGTCATTTTCACATAAATAATCAAAATTATCTAGTGTTTGGTTGGTTCTGAGTTGGATAGGATATGTTGGGAAATAATCCTGTCCTGTATTTGGTTGAAAATTGGATGAAATAGTATTAATATTTTAATGACCAAAGCACCCCTTAATTTGTAGATTCTTATTAATAAAATAGTTTAATATTTTTAATAAAAAGTTTAATATTTATAACCTTTATTCAAATAGAGTAGTTTGAAACTTTAGAATTATAAAGCAAATCAACGATTTTAATATATAAAATTTGCTTTCACTGAAACTCAACCCATTGGAGCCATTAGATTTTGACCAAGTTTTTGAACCTAAATTTGAAATCCAATTAAATAATGGGCTGAATTTTGGCTAAATTAGGGTTAAATCGATTAAAACCTAACCCGGTTAAGAACTTTAAATGAGCCAAAATCAAGCTAATATAGAAGTTTTTTTAAGGCCAAGTTTGAATTTATTAAAATCCTCTTATATATAGATATAGAATTTGGTTTAGAAAATAATTAAGCTAAGTAAAGGTAATTTGGTTCAAGGAAAATATAGTCTTTCTATTACGATGTTAGTATGGCAAATTAGTCAAAAAAATGTAAATTAATTAATAGGCATAAATTAGTCAACTTTTTAAAAATAATGAATAGGAGCAAATTAGTAAAAAATTTTTAACATTATTAGTAGGGGCTAATTAGTCCCTTTATTATCATATTATTATGTGAGAGTATGGTTATCTAAATCATTCATAAGTGCAAATTAGTCCAAATATTGTTATACAGGTAGTAAGGGCAAATTAGTCAAACAAATTTAAAATTAATTAGTAACGCAAATTAGTCCATTTATATTATATGATCGAGCAAAAGCAGGGTTATATAATTATAAGAATATAAATTTATATTTTTTGTAAGGATAAATTAATTTAAAATTTTATCATCCTATGCATCCTGCGATAACTAATATCACCTCTCCCATGGGATTATTTTATCCCATAAACAAAGGATTAATTCAGTTAGGTAGGATGCATGATTCCATATGTAAAATGCTATTAGGATGATACAGGACGATTAATCCGATCCTGTATCATCCCACGAAGGAACGGACACTTGACGATTGCCATCAAACCAAGTAATATCTCTATTGTACGCATACCGGATCAAGCCATTGTCTTTTACATTGTTTTCTCTCTCTTTCGGTGGCTTTGCATAAGAGCAGGGAAAAGAAATATGATCTGATGATTGATTGATCTGAGAGGTCGATGATTTTGCTCCGAAAGATTTTGGTCAACTATGGGAAAGTAAGGGACCAAATTAGAGACTGTAATGCTCGATCTCAGCCCGATTTGCGCAAATTGCAACTTGGATCAGTAGTATTAATTGGCCGCATGTGCAGCATTGCTTTCTTTCTCCTTGCTCCTGGGCCATATTCGTATTAATTTGCAATTTGGATTTTGGAGAATGTACTCTTTTTTTTTTTTTTTTCCTTCCTTTTCCAGTAACGGTAATATTAGTATTACTTAATCTACTCCATTTTACAAAAAGGAGAATTAAATAGGCTGTGTAAGAACATGATTCTTTGAATTTTTATCACTGCAGGTGGATTTAAATCTGGAACCTATAACCCCAAATGAAGATTTAGTCCCCTTTTTGCGACAAGTGATCCAAAGCTCAGTAGTTGAGTTTGGAGAATGTACACATACCCTATTCTTCACACAAACCTCTATGTGAACGTCATTATCATGTCAAGGCAACCATTTTGCGACACCTGTAATGGCGTGTTAATTTCAACGCGTGCAATTTGATGGACATAAAGCCACGACTTGCCTCTCAGATGTGCGTGGGGGATGCCCAAAAATTCTTCTTCAACAGGAGGAGCATCCAGCCAATGCTACTGTTTAAACATCAACACTAGTGCAATATATATAGTTGACTATCACTAAAGATCCATTGAACATTTTCCTTTTGGGGATCTTAATGAGTTCTAATCGAGCGCAAATTGATGTGCCTGGCTAGATGTGATCAAGCGCAGGCTTCACCTCCAATGGAGGCAGATCATTGCGCTTGTCATGATTTGCCTAATTACATATATAGCAGAGCTCGTTAGTATTCTTACATGCCAAAATTTCAAGCGTCTTTGAGGGGCTCGCAGCATATTTGCAGCTCACGATTTATGGCCTTTTCCATAGCAATTTATACTTCAATTACAGTAGTGTAGTCTATCTCAAAAAGATTCCACCTCTACGATATTAAGCGAAAACCACCTAATCCCGTGGTACTGTACTAGGAGAGAAAAGGGCTCGAAGCAAATGCAATGAAGAAGAAAAAAAAAAAACGCGGATTCGAGCCCGGCGGTGGGAAAAATAAAAAAGGATGAAATTAATTTTAGTCAAAAGTGTCTAAATGCAGAATGTGCATTAACTACGAGCAGGTGTGTGTATTTACGTGTTAAACTGGGAGTGAAAGTTAACATAAATGAGAAAACGAAAGGTTGAAAGAAGTTGTGTAATTTGGTCGTCCGGTGCCATCATGGATGTGTGTGTGTGTGTCAAACGTGAAGCAATATAAGTGGTGGGAATGAAATGCGATTTCTCATTGAAGGATTGTAATTCAATATGACCTTGTAAAAAGAAGAAATAAGGCATCTCATCCTCTTGTTTTTTTTTTGTTTTTTTTTTTTTATCGCCCTTCCCTCCCACCCAATATGTGTACTGCATCCGTTCAAATGCAAAATGAATTGCAGATTTTGATCTGTGTTTAGGCCTTTATAGGTTTCCTTCTCATGGATGAGTCCAAATATGAACCGTCTCGAGGGTTTCTTCTTTTGTGAAACTGAGGCCCTTTTTCTCCAATTGAATTGAAACCTACTTTTGTTGACGAATCATCATTTCCCTATAACCTCATGAGGCCACATTGTGTAGTCTACTTTGTCTGTTGAACTATCACGTCTATTATCTAGTGATGCATATGTCCTGCACTTGAAGATGCACCCCATGTCTAATTATTTCCAACATGCTAATTTCCCAATCCCTAGAGTTTGTTGATATGAGGAGGGAGCAAAACGGTCAATTCCTTTCGGTTGCCAAGTCCTTTTCAAAGGTCTATGTAGAAATGGGAGATCAATGATGGTTTCGTCTCCTCCTAATTTTGAAGGATGTAGAAGATCAATTGAGCACAAAAAGGTATCCATCCATTAATTTTGAAGGATGTAGAAGATCAATTGAGCACAAAAAGGTATCCATCCATAAATGGCCCATGCAGGTCTCGAACCTGCGACCTTCGCGTTATTAGCACGACGCTCTAACCAACTGAGCTAATAGGCCAAGTTGTCGCTAGGTTGTCTAGGCAAAATTCTGAATTCACACCAGTCCCAGACTCTTTGAGCCCTATAAATAACGCAGGCAGTGGCAGTACTAACATATCTTTTAGAGTGAACGAACAAAGGAAGAAAGAAAGAAAGAAAGAAGAGCCATGAAGAACCAAGAACCTCGTTCAAGCTCTTCTTGTGCCGCTTGCAAGTTCTTGAAAAGGCGGTGCATCCCCAACTGTCAATTTGCACCGTACTTTAGGTCGGACGAGCCCAATAAGTTCGCCAAAGTTCACAAGGTATTCGGAGCCAGCAATGTGAGCAAGATTCTGAATGAGGTCCCTGAGGAGCAAAGAGAGGACACCGTGAATTCGCTCGTGTACGAGGCCGAGGTACGGCTGAGGGACCCCGTTTACGGTTGCATTGGTGCAATAGCTTCTCTGCAGAAGAAGATGGTAGAGCTTCAACATGATCTGCTTCTTGCTAAAGCTCGTCTTGCCTACTGTGCCACCACTAAGCCAGCGCCCACTTCAGCCATATTCTTGGAGGGTCCTTCCAATATCGCTTCCAACATTGATTTTCCGGCTTCTGCTGGCTTGGAGTTGGAGGAGGCTTTCTATCACAATTCCTCGGTCATGGGTCAAAATGCCAATGGATGGATGAATGAATTAGGCCAGTTCCCGCTTGTGTGATGTGACACGCTCACATTCCTATTTTTGCTTCTGATTCTGTAGGGGCTGCAAAAACAAACCTGATGTACTTTGCTCTTTGATGATGTACTGCTATAATTTCTAATCTTCCATTGAAGAGAATTTATCCTTGAAAAGGCAAAGTACTATCTATACCTTTTATCTACTCTCTCTCTCTCTCTCTCTCTCTGTGTATATATATATGTATGTAATGGTGCCTATTTCTTGTTTTAGATTTTCAGAACAGAAGGTCTCTACCATTTTAGATTTCCTCTTTTACTATGTGAATCTTGCGCCTCTTCTGAAAGTATTACTACTAGCTTGCCACTATTTGACGTGCTGTGTGAATAAGAAAAGTTATAAATATGCTAGTCGTTCGCTTAATTATGTGACATGTTGATACATTCCAAACAGCGACATGTTTTCTTTTCATCTTTTTTCCAGTTCCAACTTCATGAGGGGAAATTTAACAACATTTTATTAGTAAAATTTATATTCATCGGCGAGCATGAAATTTCTCGAAATTTCAACTGCTTCTCCTTTAAGCAAAACATATACCGTGTGGTTTTTTAGTGTTTCCGCGCAGACTAAAAGAACCTCTGTTCCATTTCACCTGTTGCCAGGGTACGACGGACCAATGTAAACCTGTAGTTGCCTTGGGAGACCGGATTTTACAAATGCCAAACCACCAACAGAGATGCCATCTTCAGGACGAAACCAGAGTCCGCAAACCTGCGCAGCGCCGCAATGCACTGACCATCGTCCCATGGGGTGACTACTGCAATTCATCATTGTTCCAATTGCATTTCTAATGTTTTGCTAATATTTTCTTGAAGAATTCTGCATAAACAGTACTGATCGTGTTTGGACTGATATTTTGTCCAAATAATGACCTGCCTGGGGGGTACTGTAGAGAATGAGGACACATCGCCACCAAATTACAGTTTGAGAGGGTAAACAGTAAAAAAGAAAAACAAATCAAGGGTGAAAATTCTCTGGTTAACGACTACCTAACTCACCCCGTGTCTATTCCTTCCCATTTTGATTTAGCTGAAGCAACGTTGTTGTATGCCCAAAACTTTCTTCAACCGAGCTTCTCACTTCAGGGAAGTTGAAATTCCCTGCCACAAAACTGAGGACTGCTCTCGCTAGAGATGCGGACAATTCTGTCTGCATTGTGGAAGGAATCGGCTGTTCCCATAGCATTGAAGTGTAGGTTCCACAACCAGAACTTTACGAGTAACTGTTTCAAAAATAGGAGTTTTTTATTAGAATCATGTAGTAAAAACAAAAGGGTAAAGAATGTTTCTTTGTGACTCTGTGTTCAGATTGGTCAAGAAATCCAAAAAATTACCGAATACCAAAAGGAGGACATTAGAGATTAAATTCAACTTACCTTCTCATTTCTTTTCTCTTGTTGGACTATTTTATTTTACATTTCCCCAGGAGCAATTTTGTGCGTATTTTTTTTTTATTCATATGATATTTGATATGTATCGCCCCTCCTGGGCAGCTCGTCTGGCAGCGCACGCCTCCTTAGGAGTGCTTGCCAGGGGTTCGAGTCGTGCAGGGTTACCGTGTTCGGGGGGATGGGGCCTCTCCTCTCGGGCCGCAGGGGATTAGTCGGGCCACCTTCGGGTCTTGACCCGGACACTCCTGTGTCGATAAAAAAAAAAAAAAAAAAAAAAGATATTTGATATGTATCACTGTGTATTGGCACGTTTTGTCCCATTTGATGATTTGCATATCGTGAAGGCCAGCCGAATACGAGGGTTGAGGGCTAGATGGTAGGTACCCTGTATCTTTTACTCACAGATAGGCAATCCTCTATGTCGGAAAGTACAAACCTATGTGACCAAATTTGGGAAAATGATTTTGAGTTGTGCCAACCTGGGCGTTATATCCCTCAGCTCATTGTGCATAACATCGTTTCTTAAATGAAAGAAACAGTTCATTAAACTTTAATCTAAGCATTCAGCAACCAAAATCAGGCTAGCAATTACACCTTCTACTGCTGCAGATTTGTTGAAAGTCACATGAACATACTAGAAGTAAATTGAGTAATGTACAACAACTAGAGCAACAACAAATATTGACAACAGCTAAGACTCTGTAAATTCAATTGATGTTCTCCTACAAGCGCTTAAGAACTAAGCACTACTTTGCCAGTCTTTGGGGTGGGCTTGTAACTGCTCTGACTTCCGAGAGTTACATGTTGATGGCATCTCGGCTACATCTTCTTTCCTGTAAATTGAGTAGATCACAAGAAAAAAGCTTTAGCCTCGTACAAAACAGCCTCAATGTGATAAGAAGCCAAAAGTTACATTTACGTATCAACATTTCTGCTGTCCAGCAGAGGAGAGGAATCCTTTTCCTCCCATTGTACCGTCCATGACAAGCAGCTCGAAATGAGCACAAGGTTGTGCCATAGGAATACAAATTACTGTGAGATCATGAAGTGGCAAGTGTTCCACAGTATGCTACAACCACTACTTGTGCTTGGGCACTATCATTAAGACGAGCACATTCACTATGCACCACAAGCATTACTTAAGCAGGCGATTTTGCTAAAACCCAACCAAATTGTATAGCTAGTGAATGTGAACCATGTTTGATCAGGATTATGCACAAAACTAATACAGATTACCAATTAAGCGTGAGAAGAAAAGGATGCTCAATGGGGGTAATACGTTATTTAGTGTTAGACCAATGCAAAGAACACACTAAACCTAGAGTTTTGTCAGTGTTCTCACTCAGCTAATAACATATTACATACACATAACCAGTGCATGACTAGTTTGGGAGATATATTTCACCTTATTCCAGTAGGTAAACTTCATAAAAAGCATGGCATAATATTCCCGCACAAGAGGCCACACTCAGTACCTCGTAGCTTGTGCTTGCATGATACATACTACAAGATCAGAAATCAGAACTACTCGTATATTGGATATGTGAAGTATTGTAATACCCATTGATGGAGATGTCATCAAAGGTTCCGAAGAACCCTAGTTAAGCAATTCTCAAAATATTTCTAATAATGCATGTATTGACAACATTTTCTTGAATCAACAAATCATTCATGATGCTTAACTTCAGGGAGAAAACAAAACCATCATTACAGAAGAAGGAAAATTGATGCTGCTAGAACTTCATTATAAGATTCCAATGAATTACATTCAACAGCATATGTAGACACATTAAATTGGGGCTGTATTGTCATATTTCAAAGGACCAGAATCTTGAAAAGGATTACGCACCTTAACAGAATCTACAATATGGTTAAGGAACTAATGTGAGCAACTCATTTCAAAATGATATTTGCATAGACTGCAGGCAGTTCAATGAACTAGAACTGACAAAAAGCAACCACTGACCTTCAAATAATCAGATCATAGTTTGATCAACTAGTTGTGGACTTAAATCATCAGTAAATCCCTAGCAAGGGGAAGAAGATCAGGACACCCAGTTAATGTAAGCCCAATGGTGACAAGGCCATCAGCAATAAATTTTTGGTTTTTGTTGGTTACAAACTAGCAAACAAAATCAAAGAAGACATCAAAACAACTACGCAAACTGTAGAAAAGCATCATAGAGTGTATACATTGGAGACCGTCCCAAACATAATTCAAAACTTTATGAGCCACTATAAGAACCAACGGTATGTAGCACAAAAGGAAGGACACTTTTAAGGCATCTTCGCTGATACCTCTAGCATACCTTACAATAAATCATTTTCCTCTTTGTAAGATGCAAGTGAACTTAGATGACCAAATGCAGGAAAATCATGACCGCAGAACAACCGCCTAGTATTAATATAAAAAATGTAAACGATAAATCTGTTAGAAATATTTACCGTTGTTAATTAATCATATTTGTTTATACTACCTAATAAGTGGAGTTAGTGGAATAACTAATGGGATTAGTGGAGTACCTAGTGGAATTGCTAGTGGAGTGAGTGGAGTTATTGGGATAGTTAGTGGAGTTAGTGGGATAGTTAGTGGAGTTGGTTTAAACTCTATAAATAGAGTAATTTTATGTTATAAGTTGTGTGAGTTTTACAAAGAAATAAACATTTTGTCATTTGCTTCTCTTATTATTTGCCTCAATACTTGTATCAGTGGTATCAGAGCCGATGGTTCGGTTGGACGGTGACTCCAAGGTAAAAAGCCAGTGGGAGTGGTAAGGCGTGGCTTGGATAAGAACGGGGGGAAAAAAAATTATGCAGACCTACAGTGAGGCAAGGGCACGTGAGCTCTTGAACAAGAATCGTACACTCCAGATTGAAGTGGGCTTGATGCAGTGGATGGGCTAGGAAGAGAGGTCCAATGTGGAAGAGATTCACAATTGAGGAAGAGATTGTTGGGATATCAAGTGTGAATCAATGTCCCACATCGGAAAGAGATGAGTAGAATGAGGAACATATAAGTGGGAATGATCCATAGATCCAAAGCCTTAAGGTTTTGGGTTGGATGTGGTATCAAACCCATGGTTGTGGTTCCCATTCTAGCTCATGGTTAAATTCTCCCCGAGTTTGGCTCTCTCAAAATCCAACAAAGTGGTACCAAAGCTAGGCTTGTGAGTGAAAACAAAAATGAGTTGTGAGAATTGTGTTAGTAAATTACGATGGCCACTGACAATTTTGTGTAGCCAGCAATTCCTCGCTTTGATGGTCACTATGATCATTGGAGTATGCTAATGGAGAACTTCTTGAGATCCAGTGAGTATTGGTAGGTTGTCGAATCTGGAGTAGCAGAGCCAAAAGCCAGAGAAATATTGTCAGAGGTGCAAAAAATGGAGTTGGAAGCATTGAAACTGAAAAATCTTAAAGCTAAAAATTATCTTTTTCAAGCTATTGATCGAGCCATTTTGGAGACAATTCTTAGCAAAGATACCTCCAAACAAATTTGGGACTCCATAAAGAAAAAGTATCAAGGAAATGTAAAGGCGAAGCGGATGCAGCTTCAAACTCTTCGGACCGAATTTGAGACTTTACGCATGAAGTCAAGCGAATCAGTCACTGATTATTTCGCAAGAACGATGGCAATCGCTAACAAGACGAGGATCCATGGAGAAAATTTGAAGGACGCCATCATTGTCGAGAAGATTCTTCGATCAATGACAACAAAATTTAATTTTGTTGTATGCTGTATAGAGGAATCGAAAGATATTGATGCAATTTCAATTGATGAGTTGCAGAGTTCTTTGTTGGTTCATGAGCAAAATATTAACCAGCAAGAGAAAAAGGAGCAAGCACTGGTGGCTTCAACAGAAAGTCACTCAACATGGAGAGGAGACAGAGGTAGAGGCAGAGGCAGAGAAAATAATAATCGTGACAACCAACAACAACAATACCAGCACCAAGAAAATCAATTTCAAGGAAGAAGAAGAGGACAAGGAGGCTATCCATTAACAAATCAAAGGCCAAAGTCAGTAGACAAGTCCAATGTTGAATGCTACAAATGTCATAGATATGGCCATTATCAGTCTGAATGTTGAACTAATTTGAATAGACAAAATGGAGAAAGGACTAATTTTGCAGAAAAAGAAGAAGAAGTGTCTCTTTTGATGGTGTGTCACATGAGTGAAGAAACTCAACAAAACACGTGGTATTTAAACACCGGTTGCAGCAATCACATGTGTGGAGATAAAAAAGCATTCTCTGAATTGGACGAGTCATTCCGTAACACTGTCAAGTTTGGTGACAACTCTACAATTTCTATTATGGGAAAAGGAAGGGTAATTATCCAAGCTAAAGAAAATTCTTCTACCCACAACATTACTGATGTTCTTTTTGTTCCAGACTTAAAGACAAATTTGCTTAGCGTTGGTCAGTTGCTCGAAAAAGGATATGAAATTTCAATCAAAAATGGTGTATGTCAGATTCGAGATGCAAAGTTGGGCTTAATTGCTCAAGTTAAGATGACGACAAATCGTATGTTCCCACTCTATTTGCAGAACTTGCCTCATTCATGTTTCTCGACAAAATCGAAAGATGTGGCATGATTATGGCATTTTCGTTATGGACATTTGAATTTTGGTGGACTGAAAACTTTGCAACAGAAAAATATGATAGCTGGTTTACCTCAAATCACAACTCCTTCAGAAGTTTGTGAAGAGTGTGTTGTTGGCAAACAACATCAAGATAGCTTTCCAAGAGGAAAATCGTGGAGAGCAAAAAATATCTTGGAGCTGGTTCACTCTGATCTATGCAGACCCATAAATCCGTCATCTAATGATGAAAAACGTTATTTTATGACGTTTACTAATGATTATAGTCGAAAAACTTGACTCTATTTTTTGCAGAAAAAATCTGAAGCATTTTCAGTGTTCAAAAATTTCATGACTTTTGTCGAAAAGGAAGCAGGCAAATCCATAAAATTTTTTTGCAGTGATCGTGATGGAGAGTATAATTCATAAGAATTTTTAAATTTTTGTAAGGGGTATGGAATTCAGAAGCACCTTACAGCAGCTTATACGCCACAGCAAAATGGTGTTGCAGAGAGGAAGAATCGTACAATATTGAATAGGGTGAGGAGCATTTTGACAAAAAGTTGTGTTCCAAAAAATTTTTGGCCTGAAGCTGTCAACTGGAGCATTCATATATTGAACAGAAGTCCCACCTGTGCTGTTAAAAATATGACGTCTGAGAAAGCATGGAGCGGACGAAAACCAACAGTGGATCACTTCAAAATTTTTGGATGCATTGCCTATGCTCATGTTCCAGAGCAAAAGAGGACAAAGCTAGATAACAAGGGGGAGAAATGCATTTTTCTTAGTGTTAGTGATCAATCTAAAGCCTATAAGTTGTATAATCCTATCACCAAGAAAATTGTCTTCAGTCGAGATGTAATTTTTTATGAGAAAAATTTTTTGCCATGGAGCAGCAATATTATTAAACAACAAATACCTGCTGATTTTGATGGAGTTGATGAAAAAAATAGGCAGCAGTTGACAGAACAAATTCCACCAAATGGTTTAGATAATGATCAAATTCCTGAATAGTAGCAGAAGATAAAGGACGGCCTCAACGTATTAGAAAAAGACCTGCATGGATGATTGATTATGAGGTAACTGGAATTGATCAATCTGAAGACCCACTTACATATTTTGCACTGTTTTCCGATTGTGATCCTACAGTTTTTGAAGAAGCTATCAAAGATTTGAAGTGGCAGAAGGCAATGGATGAAGAAATTGCAACTATTGAACGAAATAACACTTGAGAGTTAACCAATCTTCCAGAAGGACAAAAATCTATAGGTGTCAAGTGGGTGTACAAGACGAAATTTAAGGAGAATGGAGAAGTTGACAAGTACAAGGCACGTCTGGTAGCTAAAGGCTATAAGCAAGAGGTTGGAGCGGATTATGGAGAAGTCTTTGCTCCAGTCGCAAGGCATGACACGATTAGGATGATGATAGCCTTGGCAGCACAAAATTCATGGCCTATCTTCCAATTGGATGTGAAATCAGCATTTTTACATGGTGATTTACAGAAACAGGTATTTATTGATCAACCTCCTGGTTATGTGAAGGTTGGAAGTGAACATAAGGTATACAAACTCAAGAAAGCATTATACGGGTTAAAACAAGCCCACGTGCTTAGTATAGTCGTATAGATGCTTATTTTTCTATGGAGGGATTTAAGAAATGTCCATATGAGCATTCACTTTTCATAAAGATTGGAGATGGATGTAAATTGCTGATTGTTTGCTTATATGTTGATGATCTTATTTTTACTGTGAATGACAGTGCCATGTTTGAGAAATTCAAGAAATCTATGATGACTGAATTTGATATGTCTGATCTTGAAAAGATGCATTATTTTTTGGGTATTGAAGTGGTGTAATCTGCTGATGGAATTTTTGTCTCTCAAAGAAAATATGTGCAAGAAATTCTGAACAGATTTCAAATGTCGAATTGTAATTATGTTAGTACGCCAGTTGAAGTGGATTTAAAACTCATCAAAGAACCAGGAGGAAAGAGGGTTGATAGCACCCTTTACAAGCAAATTATGGAAAGTTTGATGTATTTGACAGCAACTAGACCTGATATTATGCATGTTGTAAGTCTTATTAGTAGATACATGAAAAATCCAAGGGAGACACATCTTCTAGCTGCCAAGAGGATTCTTCAATACTTGCGGAGAACCATTGAGTATGGATTATTTTACAAGAATGGTGAAAAAATCAGATTTGTTTGATTTTACTGATAGTGACTATGCAGGCGATTCTGATGATAGAAAGAGCACGTCTGGATATGTGTTCATGATGGGTTCAGCAGCTATTTCATGGTGTTCAAAAAAGCAACCAATTGTTATGTTATCAACAACTGAAGCAGAGTATGTAGCTGCAACCGCCTGTGCCTGTCAAGCAATTTGGTTAAGGAATATTCTTGAAGAGTTGCATTTTCAGCAAGAAGGAGTTACTACAATTTATTGTGACAACAGTTCTGCCATCAAACTCTCTAAAAATCCAGTTCTACATGGAAGAACCAAACACATAGATGTGAGGTTTCATTTTCTAAGGGAGCTCACAAAGGATGGAATAATTGATTTTCTTTACTACAAAAGTGAAGATCAGATTGCTGATATAATGACCAAGCCATTGAAGTTATCCATGTTTCAGATATTAAGAAAGCTGCTTGGAGTCTGTGCAGTTAATAAATCATATTAAACTGAATGTTTGATAAACTTTCAGTTTAAGAGAGGGATTGTTAGAAATATTTACCGTTGTTAATTAATCATATTTGTTTATGCTACCTAATTAGTGGAGTTAGTGGAATAACTAGTGGGATTAGTGGAGTACCTAGTGGAGTTAGTGGAGTGAGTGGAGTTATTGGGATAGTTAGTGAAGTTGGTTTAAACTCTATAAATAGAGTAATTTCATGTTATAAGTTGTGTGAGTTTTACAAAGAAATAAACATTTTGTCCTTTGTTTCTCTTATTATTTGCCTCAATATTTGTATCACAATCGAGCCAGTCCAGCCAACAAAAGGGAAAACTTCCAATCATGCCAATGTAGAAATGAACAACCGCCTCTTTCCTCTTTCAACCTTCAAAAAGAAGTCCGATAAAAAACTCCAGAAACTCTGTTAGTGATTATCTACAACTCAATCCTAGCCCCATCAACAGATTCAACATAACCAAAGAAAACTATACACAATAAGATCCTAATAGTAAATGATGATGAATGTTGGGAACCAACGTGACATCACATTCTCCATATTCCAACCGAAGGCAATGCAAATCCATTCAGCATCCTCATAACAATAACGAATAAAAAATTCCCCAAAATGCGAGAAGATAATATGCTGAAATGATAAATCCCTGACACTCAATCATTTGTGCAACTAGTTAAATTTACCTGATCAGGAAGCACTTCCGGAAGGCCGCTTCAAGTTCTCAAGCTAAAGCTGAGCCTCCAGAAACATGTTCATTTTCTCAAACTCCAAATCCTTCAATAAACTCAGGCCTCTGCTTCCCCAACCCCCATCAACTGCTGCTGCTTGGCGCTCTCAATCCTCTCGTAAATCTCCCCACACTTCAGTATCGGCCCCGCCAGCTAACGGATGCTGCTCCGTTCTTTGCTTCATTCCATTTCCACCGCTGTACTTCTAGCGTCTTCTATCAACGAAACGTCGAAAACACTTGCCTTTTAACTTCTAGCACTACTGCGACATGGACGAAAGGAAAACTGGTTTCCTGTCAGTTGCAGGCTTCCGGCTTCGTGATCTGTAGGACTCCTGAGAGCATTGGCCTGGGGGGCGTTTGAATCAGCATGGGCTTGTTTGGCATAGGCCCCATTTTCCCAAACACTAGGCTAACAGTCCATAAATGGGTATGAAGCCCATTTGACTCGGGTTTTTATGGACCCAACACAAGCTAACTCGGACGAATGTTAAACACGGGGGCCTGAAACTTCCAACGGTTTGTATAATCGGGATTCAAGGGTACTTGTTAAAATATAATTTAAGTGTTATATTTTTTAAATATAAAATTAATTAAAGAAAATAAATAAATACAAGGGAAGATAGGCAAGATTAAATAGGAAAAGTATATAAATGTAAGAGAGAATAATAATTGTTATTATGTGTAATAATTACAAGAGAGGGTAGGCAAGATTAAATAGGAAAATATTAAATGTGAGAAAGAATAATAATTATTAGTATATGTGCACATATTATAAGTTAGATGAATACTAGGAATGTTAACGAGTTCCCTAAGAGCATCTATTAAAAAAAAACCAACTTTGAATTATATAGTAGTCAACCAACGACCCTTTGAACTGCTGTTAGCCACCACAAAAGACTTTAAGTCTTGGTGGGGTGGAAAGTCAAGGTCCCATTAATGTGTCACTATATGTTACTTTTTCTAAATTCATACGGTTGCGTAATGGACTCTTCTTATCTAATAGTAGTTTAGCCTCCGTCAATTTTTTTTAGGCTCCATTGGGCCTTCCCCTCCAGTGTAGGCTTTTTTTTGGATAATTTTTGGTATCTCCCCTGGAATTTCTCATAATGATTTTTTTTTTGTTGGGATAATTTTAGATACCTACTCTGAAATTTCTAATAATTTCGCCGACTTTTCTTGATATTTGAAAAATTACACTAACCCGTGGAATTGGGAGCCTGATTGCTTACATCAATATCACACGAGGATATCAAGGGACTGAAAAGAACGCAAGGACATTATGAAAGCAGAACCTCCTAAATGAGACCGTTTACCCGGCGACCGACGTCAAGTGGTGCTCGCTGTACCCTCCATGACATTAAGAACCGCAGAATTTGGTGTTGGCCGTTTGCAAAATTTTCAAAGAAAGAGTCAGCGGTGCCCAGGAGAAGATTAAAAGTTACAGCCTGGGCAATTACTTTGTGATGTAGTTTTATGCCGTCCAGCAATAATGCCCAAGAGAAGTACTGCTTCAGAGTCTCTCAGACTTTTTGGATTCATGCGAAGGTGCGCTCTCCATCGCCGTCTCTATCCCGAAACTTTTCAATCCAAAGTTTCAGAAATCGCTGCTGGATTCTTATGCCGCCTTGATTTAATAATGCCTTCCTTCCTGTCATGCCAGAAGAAAACTGCTCCAGCAGCTCCAAGAAGTCCTGATAGGGGAACCAACAGTATGAATTTGACCACCGTTTTCATACCAAGACACTTTGACCACCATTTCGCATCACTTCGAAGGCAAAAATTGTAGTACATTTTGATTTTATCTGTTCCAGTCTTTGATACAGTCCTCGTACAAGTAAATGAGGCGTCATGGATGGATGGTACTCATATTACATGTTAACCCATGGGTGTATGCGTACCAATCATGAACCGACAAAATAAACTAAACTTGCCAGATCAATTTATCCTGACATTGCCATGATCACAACAAATCATTATCGGGAACTTAAAAAATCTGCTATATATATATATACATACACAGGAACTTCACAGAAATGCCACTCAGTCAGGAGGCAAGTTCCTCTGATTTATGATCCAGCTCAACTTTTGCATGCACTAATTCTTTATGAAGATTCCGGATAATAAATCATATAAAACATCGCATGTACACAGTGAATTAACTAACAAATTTCAACCACTTCTTGCATCTACAAGAGTATTAATTAAATGCTGATCAAGTGCCAACATATTCCGGGGTTAATTTGCACTAGAATAATAAGGTCAAGCGTCCTAGAAAGGAGGAGGTCGTAGGAAGGGCGGGTCAACTGCTTGCTTTCGGGGGGACGTTACGTTGATAATTACAATTGTCCAATACAGTTTGCTTTCGAAGAACAATCTGGCTTGCAAATGTTTAATTAAGCGAACTTCATGGATGTTGTTCTCTCCCAAATGGGGAAACAAAAAAGAGATGTTTAACTAAGTATTCTTTTAACATGACTTTTGAATTACCAATCACTTAAATACGTTTCTGAATTCCCAATCACCATTAATGCTAAAGTATATTATTCAATAAAAGTTTTTTCAAATAATCTCCTATCCATTCCATAAGAGGTCAAAATAGAGCACATGGGATTTTAAGAAACTCTACTAATGTTCATAAGATTCTAAAGTTTTTGATCAAATCAAAACGACTTTTTTTTTTCTTTGCATCAGAAATTTTTAAGAATTAGTACGTAGTTAAACCCTAATCCCAAATCAACCTCAAAAGCCACGGTGGTAAATCAAAATGACTTGAGAGTCCAACTTCTACTCAACTTTGACACGCATGTTTTTCAACCTTTGCATTTAATCAAAAACCGAACCACTCTAAATGTGGTTAGGAATGACGCTTTTGAGGTGCATAGATCATTAGGCTTTTTAAGATTCATCGGACTTTTTTTTTTCTTTGGAAAAAAAACAACAAACAAAAAAAAGGTTAGGACCTGAATAGGAGACAGAATCGTTCATCCCAGATAATATATTCCCTCTGGAAATAAAGATCCAAAATCTGTGAAGTACACATCTTTGCTTTTGTGCTTGCCTTTTGTGAAAAGACTCGAAGCGTTGAATCAATTCCAGCTACAATTCTTAAAGTGAGGGAGGAAAGCAAGATAGCGATCGCAGAGTAAAACATGCAGATCCATGCATATCCATACATAAAAAAGGCAAACAAACCCATTAATCTCTCCATTTTCTTATCTTATCCCCATTCCACTCAAGCTTTATACCACATTGTCCAGCATCTTCATGTTTAGCAAAAGTGTGTATTATGCGTCACTTTTGGTCCCCGCACGGCTGGGCTCCTCGTTTGACCTCTATGCGAATAGGACGCCCTGCAGCTCCGAATCTCTTAGTACATGTCCCTCTTTTGTATTACTGGTTTGTACCTCGGGCTCAGGACATATATATATATATATATATATATATACATACAGCTTTTTACGAAAAAAATTTGGGTGGTTATTGCCCGTAAACAATTCCGCTTGCTTTATGATTATCATTGTCATCAACTGTACGTGGTCTCCATGTTATGTGGTGCTCATGCTCCACTCTAAATGTCACTAAACACTAGGCATGTATTAATTTAATACAGCGCAAATTAAGACCGACTTAACTTGTAGTCTTGCATCTAGTGTTTTGGACGTTACATTTGTTACTTGCACCTCTTCCTTTGCATCATCTACGAAAACCCTCGCCAACTTTTGGATGTTTGTTTGCTAACCCTGACGTTGGAGGGAAACTGCTAATTCGGGGACCTTCATTCCAAGAGAGGGGCATTCTAATTGACTATCAGTTTTTTTAAATATTTTTTAAGGAGGGGAGGAGGGGGGGAATTCGGAGGGGGGGGGGGATGTTTCTAATCGCTAATGGCCACGACAGGATGGTGTGCAGGTCTGACTGCATAAGATGGCCATCAAATGAATCATAAGACCATGAAATGAAGAATAGAATGCAGGTATGGCTGCAAGTTAGGGGTTTAAATTTTAAACTCCGGCATATTTAGTAAAATCCAAAGGATATGCAGTAGTGCACCCTTTTAGTTTAGAGGTTGGATCCTTTCCCTTTAGTTTAGAGGTTGACCCTGCCAAAGCGAAATTTTTGGGTTCGGGTCAAGTTCGACTCAGCGAATTTTCTGTTATACTCGAATATCAACTTGACCCATCAACCCGATTTGGACCCGATTGTCACCCCTAGCTGCAAGTTAGGGGTTTAAACTCCAGCATATTTAGTAAAATCCAAAGGATGTGCGGTAGTGCACCCTTTTAGTTAAGATGTTGGATCCTTTCCCTTTAGTTTCCCTTGCCTCGGTTGAGTCCTCTCCTAAAATAAATTAGAGCAAGAATAGGAGTGGGAGTAAGAGTTGATGATTGATAAAAAATAAATAAAAATAAAAACCACAGAGTGTGCAGCGGATCACGGGCCTTACAGTTTTCATCTGAGACCAGTTTGAGGACAACTTGGTTCTTTTCTAATTTTTTACATCACTATACTACCCATTTATACCTCGTATAAATTTATTCACGTCCTGTCACGACTTATTTATACCTTAACGACAAATTGATTTGAACGGGAATTTGTGAGGCCCTAGGTCCTTGTGCAGCATTATCAACCTGAAACCCCTGACGTTCCCAAGTTTAAATAAATCAATGATTCCTTTTTCTTGCTCATTTTCGGCGTTACAGTTCTCTATGATTAGCTAGAGAGAATAAGGTGTCTTTTTTGGGTCAACTAGGTGCGTTAGTTTTGAATCCTCAAGATATGCCACTACGTTAGACTAATAGCCAGCATATATGACTGTTGCAAATCTTCCTACTTGTTCACGACAAAAATTTAATATCCCGCTTAATTTAACTTTTGCCGGATGACGATGACGCTGGCAAATCTTCCTATTTCTTCGTGAGAAAATAATTGATCCAAAACAATTGACGATCGAGCATAAATCCGCAGTAATAATGATAAAAAATTCATACAATAGACAAAGAAATTTCACTCCATTTATAAATAAAGCTGCGACTACTGTTTAACCAATAGCCGTTGGGACTCTTGGCCAGGGGCTTTATGTTCTGTCTGACAGACTAGAATTCGAACTTGACTGTCAAATTTGAAGATAAGGAGGGATTAGAGGCGGCATTTTTGGCCAAGGCTTTATGTCTTGCCTAGCAGACCAAAGTTCGATTTTGACTGCTAGGTTTAGGGGCAGGGAGGGAGTAGAGGTGGGGGAGGCGAGGATTAAAGAAAAAAATTTCTACAGCTACTATTTACATGCATGGCACAAAGAAGTTGGAGGCTACAAACTTATAAGCAGTGAGCAAATTA